CAAATGGCAGACAGCCTTCCCAGCCTGGCCGAGGGAGAGCAGGATTTTAGCACAGTATGAAGCCAGCAGAGGGCTTTAAGCAGTGGGGCTAACATCATCTGAATTTGATTTAAAAAAATATCACTCTGACTGCTGGGTGGAACATATAGATTTGTAAAACTATATCTAAATATGTAGGGGGGTGCACTTCAAAAGGTTTGGAAGCATACACACCAAATTCTTAACGAGAGCAGAAAGAGTGGGCCAAGGCGGGTGTATGCACGGAGATAGGGCAACTGACAACTTTCACACATGCTCACACTATTTGAGTCTTTTATAAGAATATATTCGGCCGGGTGCGGTGGCTCATGCCTGTAAGCCCAGCACTTTGGGAGGCCAAGGCGGGTGGATCACCTGAGGTCAGGAGTTCGAGACCAGCCTGGCCAATGTGGTTAAATCCCGTCTCTAATAAAAATGCAAAAATTAGCCGGGTACAGTGGCAGGTGTGTGTAATTTCAGCTACTTGGGAGGCTGAGGTAGGAGAATTGCTTGAACCCAGGAGATGGAGGTTGCAGTGAGCCAAAATTGTGCCACTGCACTTCAGCCTAGGTGACAAGAGTGAGACTCCATGCCAAAAAAAAAGAAAAGAAAGATAAAGAATATATTCATGGCCGGGCACAGTGGCTCACGCCTGTAATCCCAGCACTTTGGGGGGCCGAGGTGAGCAGATCACTTGAGGTCAGGAGTTTGAAACCAGCCTGGACAATATGGTGAAACCCCGTCTCCACTAAAAATACAAAAAAATTAGCCAGGCATGGTGGTGGGCACCTGTAATCCCAGCTACTCCAGAGGTTGAGGCAGGAGAATCGCTTGAACCTGGGAGGCGGAGGTGGAGGTTGTAGTGAGCCGAGATCGCGCCACTACACTCCAGCCTGGGCGACAGAGCAAGACTCCATCTCAAAAAAAAAAAAAAAAAAAAAAAAAGAATATATTCATGTATTCCTGAACAATAAAAAGAATGGTCACCCTGAAGATATTCCAAACCAAGCTCCTCAGAACCTGAGGCTCTGCCCAGGGAAACCCTATCTCACACACAGAGCTGCCAGAACAGGGCAGGACGTGCCACAGAGGCCGTCTCAGGAGAGTCCCCTGGGTGTCTGCTCAACTGTTCCCCTCCTACCTGGAGTCCCCTTGCCCTTCACTACCTGGCAGGTTCCTTTTCATTCCTCAAGATGGCAGCACAATGGTGCAGCCTCCCAGGGAGAAGCAGCTCCTGCCTGCCTGCCTGCACCCCAACGCCACGATTACTTTGAGAGCTATGTTCCAATGCCTGTTTACCAGGGAACTCTTTGAAGGTAAGAACTCTCTTATTTGCGTGTCTGCAGTCCCTGGGATGAGGCCGAGCATGCAGCAGGTGCTGGATAAACAGTCATGAGGGTGACTGATCAGCCTTGGTCTCTACTGCTAGGCCCACATCTCTTGTACTCAGAGTGCCCACTTCAGCACCAGATACACAGTTATCCACTCAGTTACTGACGAGTCCCTTCGCTTTGTCTCGATACTGGGCACAAACTGACCATAGGAATCTTCTAGCAAGTTAACAGCCAAATGGAGATGAAGGACCACTGGGTATGGTCTAGATTTGCCTTCCCAAACTGGAATTTCTGCAAAGGTGTTAATCGAGAAGCTATGAAAAAATGATCCAGGCTAGAATACCTTTTTTTTTTTTTGAGACAGGGTTTTGCTCTTGTTGCCCAGGCTGGAGTGCAATGGCGCAATCTCGGCTCACTGCAACCTCCGCCTCCAGGGGTTCGAGTGATTCTCCTGCCTCAGCCTCCCAAGCAGCTGGGATTACAAGCATGCGCCACCACGCCCGGCTAATTTGTTTGTATTTTTAGTAGAGACAGGGTTTCTCCATGTTAGTCAGGCTGGCCTCGAACTCCTGACCTCAGGTGATCTGCCCACCTTGGCCTCCCAAAGTGCTGCGATTACAGGTGTGAGCCATGGTGCCTAGTCGTTAGAATACTTTTGAAGAAAGCTGCATCCCTTACTACCCCAATGGAGTGTAACAAAGCACACAAGCAGTTAAAAGCTCTGAAAAGTTCTATGGTGAAGAAGCCAATCCACTGTTTCCCATACTGTGGTGAATTAAGGATGCATTTCTTGTGATATGCCTATTAAATGTAACAGAACAGCAATAGCAGCAGCTAGCATTTGCTGAGCACCTGCTATGTGCCAGGCACTATACTGAGGACTTTCTCATTATCTCCATTTTACTGGAACCCAGAAAGTTTAATAACTTGCCTGACATCTGGGAATGAGATTCTGGGGAAGTGAGGATGTGAGCCTGGGCAGCCAATGTCCAGAACCCCACTCCAAACCACCGTGCCCTGCAGCTCCCCAGGATACAGCCATGTGGCTGCAGGTCAGCACGTGCTGATCCAGGCCGTAAGCAGGGTTTTGAAAGCTCACGTGTAAATGCTGTACACATATTCTTTGCCTCTCAGACTCTTGCTACAGGAACACTATACATCAAGTTCATACCATAAGCCAGAACAAAATTCACTACTCTGCAGGACTTGGACTCACATCCAAAGATAAATTACTACCAAATAAGGTCTACGATTCAACTCAAACTCTGTATTTTATGTTTCTCTGACACCTACTTATCATATTAGAACTTTGAAAGTTGACAATTTTTTGAGGCATTTATATGACATAATGAAGGCCAAACCATACCTTACGTTTGATTTGTCATTCAGGTTGCTAAATTCAAGCAAAAATGTGGCCGATAAAAGTTATCCAAGTCTAGAAATAAATCCTTGTATTGATGGTCAATTAATTCTCAGCAAGAGTGTTAATACAATACAGTGGGGAAAAAATGGTCTTTTTAATAGATGGAACTGGGACAACAGGATATCTATACGCAAAAGAATGAAGTTTGATCCCCTACCTCATACCATATACAAAAATTAACTCAAAATGGATCATAGGCTTAAATGGAAGAGCTAAAACTAAAACTCTTAAAGAAAACACAGGGGCAAATCTTTGTGACCTTGGGTCAGCAACGGCTTCTTCATATGACACAAAAATACAAGTGACAAAAGAAAAATACAGATAAATTGGACTACGCCAAAAGTAAAAACTTCTGTGTGTGTGTGTGTTTTTTTCTTTTGAGACGGAGTCTTACTCTGTTGCCCAGGCTGGAGTGCAATGGTGTAATCTCGGCTCACTGCAACCTCCGCCTCCCAGATTCAAGAGATTCTCCTGCCTCAGCCTCCCGAGTAGCACGGATTACAGGCGCCTGCCCCCACGCCCAGCTAATTTTTGTATTTTTAGTAGAGATGGGGTTTCACCATGTTGGCCAGGCTGGTCTCAAACTCCTGACCTCATGATCCGCCTGCCTCGGCCTCCCAAAGTGCTGGAATTATAGGCGTGAGCCACTGTACCTGGCCTGTATGTCATTATTATATGTCAATAAGGCTGTTTTAAAAAAGCTCTCAGGGAAGCACATCCTCTGTAATTGTCAACAGGTCACTGAGTGGGGGCTTCAGTCCATAGAACTACTCATTTCACCAGAACAAAACAGGTATCTCAAGCAATACCACTTCTCTTTCCTTAAACGCTTTTTCTAAATGAGGTTTCCCACTGAACCTTTTTTCCTTCAGCTCTTTGGACAATCTGTGATTGTCTTCATTTTGTGATTCTTTTTTTGAGATGGAGTTTCACTCGTTGCCCAGGCTAGAGTGCAATGGCACGATCTCGGCTCACCGCAACCTCCACCTCCTGGGTTCAAGCGATTCTCCTGCTTCAGCCTCCTAAATAGCTGGGATTACAGGCGCCCGCCACCACACCCAGCTAATTGTTTGTATTTTTAGTAGAGACAGGGTTTCTTTTTTTTTTTTTTTTTTTTTGGAGATGGAATCTTGCTATGTTGCCCCGGCTGGAGGGTAGTGGTGCGATCTTGGCTCACTGTGCAACCTCTTCCTCCCTGGTTCAAACAATTATCCTGCCAGGTAGCTGGGACTACAGGTGCATGCTGCCACGCCTGACTAAGTTTTTGTATTTTAGTAGAGATGGGGTTTCACCTTGTTGCCCAGACTGGTCTTGAACTCCTGAGCTCAGGCAATCCACCCACCTCGGCCTCCCAAAGTGCTAGGATTACAGGCGTGAGCCACCGCGCCTGACTGAGACAGGGTTTCATCATGTTGGCCAGGCTGGTCTTGAACTCCTGACCTTAGGTGACCCACCCACCTTGGCCTCCCAAAGTGCTGGGATTACAGGCGTGAGCCACCAAGCCCAGCCACTTTGTAATTCTTTTTTTTTTTTTTTTTTTTTGAGACGGAGTCTCGCTCTGTCGCCCAGGCTGGAGTGCAGTGGCCGGATCTCAGCTCACTGCAAGCTCCGCCTCCCGGGTCTACGCCATTCTCCTGCTTCAGTAGGAGAATGTCCCCTCCCCAGTAGCTGGGACTACAGGCGCCCGCCACCTCGCCCGGCTAGTTTTTTGTATTTTTTTAGTAGAGACGGGGTTTCACCATGTTAGCCAGGCTAGTCTTGATCTCCTGACCTCGTGATCCGCCCATCTTGGCCTCCCAAAGTGCTGGGATTATAGGCTTTAGCCGCACCCAGCCGCCACTTTGTAATTCTTTAATGTCTGCTCTGTCTGAACTGGAAGCTCCATGAGGGCAAGGACTATACTTTGCTCGTTGCTGAATCACTGGGGCCTGCACTATCTAGCAGAGTCAGTACTGAGATATTTGCTGAATAAATGAGCTTTGAACACCCAGGGAACCAGATCAAATTAAACTGGGTATTTCCTCAAGTTCCTGGATCAAAACATCACAGCCCACAAACCGAGATCATTGTATTCGGTGGTTTTCCCCAGGCTCAGCAATGACGAGGCAAGTGCAACCTTGTGCAGGGCCAAGGGGAGAGAAAGGAGAAGACAGAGAAGGGAAGAAGCAGGAAGGAGGTACAGGGCTCAGTGGCCCGGCTGGGCAGGGCTGGGAGGACAAACTTACTTTTGTAGGTTGGCCATCTCCTTCACAGCTTCCACAGCCCCTGGCAGGGGCTCAAGTTCAAAAAAGAAATTCTTTGACTCCCAAATGCTGATGGCCTTCTCCTGAGAAGTTGAGAAAAGCAAGTTACTTCTAGGGTCCTCAGCACCTTACTGCCCTCATCTTGGGGAGTATATCCAGGCTACAGGGGAAGTGGTTCTGCATTCCTCACTCCCCCAAACACACACCCAAGGACGTATTTCCTGGGGGAAGTGCAGAGAGTATGTGGGCTTCGAACACCTTTCCAGAAAGGACCTGACTTCGTCGGGATCCAGCAGAGACTAGCTAAGGTGTCAGGCCCATGGACTCCTACACCTGCCGGAGCTCTCTGGGACCTGAGGCCAATCGTCAGGAACTGCGTGCTTGCTAGGCTGGATTCGAGTGGCCAAAAGAACTGTGGAAACTGAGGCTGGACCAGCTCTTACCATGGCAGTAGAGTCCTTAAACTTGAGAACTGGAGGGACTCAGAGATCTTTAAGGGCACTGCTGTGTCATGAGGGATAAGCGGGAGGGGAAGACAGCGTAAAAGGACAATTCAGGGAGCTCTAGGATCCTCCCCACATTAACCAGAAGAGCTCTGCTTTTATCTGTTTTACATGTTGAGGTGCCAGTAAGTACATTAAAAAAAAAAAAAAAAAAAAAAAAAAGGATTTCGCTGCTTTTAGAGTTGCAAAGCAAAAATGCAGATCCTCATTTTACATGTGAGAAAACTGAGGCTCAGAATGGGGAAGAGATCCACCTGATGTCACATAGCAAAACAGCAGCTGAGCCGGGAGGAGAACCCCCAACACCAACCCTCTCCTCCCCACTCCCCAACCCCCGCTGCCTTTCTCCTTCCCCTGTTCTGCTGCAGGGCCAGAATGCAGCACCTTTTCTAGGGTCAGGCAAGGGGAAAGTGACAACCAGAGGGGAGACACATTTCTGCCTAGGAGAAGTAGAAGCCTAAAGCCCATAAGTGCAGTGCAGGCAGTGGCGCTGCCAGCCGTTCGGCATGCTATAGAAACAGTCACCCTGTCACATGGATGGCCGGAGGACGCTCTGACAGCACACCAGCAACTCTCAGGAACCACAGGGACTAGGCAAATGCGTGCTTATTACTGAAACACATTTAATCCTCACATCCCACATGGGGTACTGTGAAGATCAAAGGGAATACAGATAGAGCAGAATTTTGAAAAGTAGAAATGCCTACATACACATAAGGAGCCACGTGTGGGGGAGGTTTGTTTTAACCACTTGGTTAAACAAGTGGTTTAACCAAGGGACCAGCTTGGCCAAGGGATGTCCGCAGCAGCAAGCCGTGCCTGGGGAAGGGAAGTAGGGGGAAGCCAGCAGATCACTCCCAGGGCACCCTCCTTATTTTGCCTTGTGCTTGGAAACCAGTAACCCTGCACATACAGAGCCTACATATTTGCACAAAGAACTGGAAAAGCTGCTGCACTTTTCAGAATTGGGGGTGGGCTTGGTTTCCACGTTAATACACTCCTGGGCAGATATATGGTGTCCAGACTCCCGATGCCGAGCGCTGTCTATAAATGAACACTCGCGGCACACTGGAGCCTATTCCTGAGGCTGCAGAAAGTACTAGGGCATTTTCTCCGGTTTAAAGTTTATCATTAGGCATTGGCCCTGGAAGAGCTCAGCACACTGGGCTCTGTGAAAGTCATCTTCTGAAGTGCCTGGTGTTGATGGAGACAAATGGTACTTGGTTTCCTTTTGTTATTAACACGTGTCCCTCAACAAACCACATTACTGATGAAGTATCTTTCCGAAGTCAGAAGAAATGTCACTTGTTAGAGACAGCAGGTGAGAAAACAGGACTTTGGAGTGGGGAGCACTAACTGTGCTTGGGAGGCAGACAGACTTGGGTTTGAGTCCTGACTGAACCCCTGAGCAGCATGTGACTTGGGGCAAGTTTCCTCATCTGGAAAACAGAGATAATAATATCTACCTAACAAAAAAGAGGATGCAGTGAACTTGTGGCTAAAAAACGGGCTCTTGTAACTTCCTTCTCCTCTTTATCAAACCCTCCGGCAGCAACCCTAGGTGACCAATCAAGGGATGCCAGAAAACAGCCTCTTTAATTTTGTGCATACCAAAATCCCCTGTTCCTTTTGCAAAATACTTCAAATTTACCAACCAAGATCTGTGTGTAAACGTCCCTCCTTGGATCTTTCCCCTCTATCCATCCTGGACAGAACACCTCGGGAGTCGGATGGTAGGGGTTGAGCTCAGGTGTTCAGGAAGGCCAGCTCTGCAAGGGGATAAGACATGAGGTGGATCCCACCTCACCTGGACCAGACTCACTGTGTGACCCCCAGAAAGTCACACAACCTCTCTGGGCCTCAAATACCCCTGGAAGCTATGCTTTGATGGACAACAGCAAAAAAGATGGGTAAAGACACCCATCAAAGCCCTGGGGACAAAGAAGTGGGAATGTGATTGCGGTCGGGGTGAAAGAGGACAACTTATAACGTTTATTTTTCTAAAAATTTAACAAACGACTTGAGGCCAAATATGTCACAAATTTTAAAGTCATCTTTAGATGGAGAGTTAGGTATATTAACACTTTGTACTCTCCCGCATTTTCAGAAGCTCTGGATGGCAGCCAATAGATCTTGAGCGCGGGGCCGCGTCTTCCCGGCTCGCTGTGGCCCCGGTACCCCCGCCCCAGACCCTATTCTACCAGAGGGCCACCCCGAGGCTGGGGCGCTGACCGTCCAAGGTCACCCGCGCAGGGGCGGGGTCTGAGGCTCGGGGAGAGAAGGGGGCCCGGCGCGGGGCGGGGCGGGGACGCTCACGCTCAGCCCTGGCCGCAGGCGGCCGTACTGCTCCGACACCCAGAAGCCGCGCCGGTCCTCCAGCGCGATGAACGGCTGGTCGGGGAAGCGCGCGCGGAACTTCCTGAGGAATCCGCCCTCGAAGTCTGCCAGCACGCCGTCCATGTCCACCAGCACCCGCAGGGCGCGGCCTCCCGCCAGGCCCTGCCCGCCCGCCGCCCCGCGCCGCCCCGCGGGAACCGCCGCGCTGCAGAGCCGCCGCGCACACCAGCCGCCCGGCTGGATCATGGCCCAGCACGCTGGCCCGCAGGGGGCGCGGGGACCTGGGTCGCGCCGTGCTGCCGGGGCCGGCCGGACATGCCAGACGCGGAGAAGACCCCAACGCTGGGCGCGCGGGGGGCGCGGGGCGGGGAGCGCGGGGCGCGGGCGCGCAGGTACCAGCCCCAGAGCGAGGCCGCGGCGCGCGCGGTCCTTAAAGGAATACGCGCCGGCGGAGGCGGAGCCCCGGGGCGGGGCTTCGAGGACGGACAGCGGTGGGCGCCGGGCGCCTCTAGAAGGTCCGCGCTCTCGCGCTTTCCATTTGCGTCTTCTCAGTGGACCCTGGGCCCGGGCTGCCTCCTCCCACTGCACAGACTACCGTGGAGGAGCAGTGCAAACCGAGAAGCAGGCCTGTGTCGTTAGACATTTTTGAGCCCTTACTGTGTCGAGTGTGAACCAAATAGACAAAGTTCCTGCCGTCCTGGAACTTAGGTTTTAGAAGGGGAGCCAGACAACAGGATGGAGGAACCAAAACGGTGCACTCTGAAAGCCTCTCTGCTTTATTTACAGCAAGTGTCCGCGGAGAGATTGATAGAACCAATATCGTGCTAACATATACAGCCTTAGTAAAACTGATGATACTCAAGTAAATACATGAATAAATATTATGTACCCCTGTATAGTCTTTTTTTTTTTTTTTTTTTTTGGAGACAAGGTGTTGCTCTGTTATCCAGGGTGGAGGCAGTGGCGTGATCTTGGTTCACTGCAGCCTTGAGTTTCTGGGCCCAAGGGATGCTCCTGCTTCCGCCTCCTGAGTAGCTGGGACCACGGGGGCCTGCCACCACACCCTGGTTTTTTGGGTTTTTTTTTTTTTTTTTTTTTTTTTTTGAGACAGAGTCTCGTTCTGTCTCCCAAGCTGGAGTGCAGTGGCACAATCTCGGCTCACTGCAAGCTCCACCTCCCGGGTTCACGCCGTTCTCCTGCCTCAGCCTCCGGAGTAGCTGGGACTACAGGCGCACGCCGCCACGCCCGCCTTTTTTTTTTTTTTTTTTTTTTTTTTTTTTTTTTTTTTTGTATTTTTAGTAGAGACAGGGTTTCACCATGTTAGCCAGGATGGTCTCGAACTCCTGACCTCGTGATCCGCCCGCCTCGGCCTCCCAAAGTGCTGGAATTACAGACGTGAGCCACTGCGCCCGGCTTTTTTTTTGTTTTTAGACAGAAGTCTTCCTATGTTGGGTCAAACGATCTTCCCACCTCAGCCTCCCAAAGTGCTGGGAAAACAGAAGTGAGCTACCATGCCCAGCCCACTTTTTTTCTTTCCAAGAAAAAAACAAAACAAAACAAAAACCACATGGCGATGGGATGGTGGAGAGAGGTGGAGGGATTAGCAGGGGTGGGCAAGGAGGGCGTCTCCTAGGAAGTGATGATGGAACAGAGACATGAGGAGGAGAAAGAGCAGACAAGAACCAAAGAGACAAGAGGCCCCATCCACAAGGGCAGCAAACTCAAAGGCCTGAGGGCTCAGGAGGGAGAGAAGGCCAAAAAGAGCATAATTTTCTTTTCAACTTTTATTTTAAGTACAGGATACACGTGCAGATTTGTTATATAGATAAATTGACTGTCTTTGGGGTTTAGTGTACTGATTATTTCATTACCCAGGTAATAAGCATGGTTCCTGGTAGGTAGTTTTTCCATCCTCACCCTCCTCCCACTCTCCATCCTCAAGTAGGTCCCTGTGTCTGTTGTCCCTATCATTACGTCCATGTGTACTCAATGTTTAGTTCTCACTTTTAAGTGAGAACATGAGGTATTTAATTTTCTGTTCCTGTGTTTGCTTAGGATAATCGTCTCCAGCTCCATCCATGTGGTTGCAAAAGACATGATCTTATTCTTTTTTATGACTGTGTAGTAGTCTATGGTGTATATGTACCACATTCTCTTTTTTTTTTTTTTTTTTTCTTTCTTGATATGGAGTCTTGCTCTTATTGCCTAGGCTGGAGTGCAGTGGCAGGATCTCGGCTCACTACAAATTCCACCTCCCAGGTTCAAGCGATTCCCCTGCCTCAGGCTCTGAAGTAGCTGGGATTACAGGCGCCCACCACCACACGCAGCTAATTTTTTGCATTTTTAGTAGAGACAGGGTTGCACTATATTGGCCAGGCTGGTCTTGAACTCCTGACCTCATGATCTGCCTGCCTCGGCCGCCCAAAGTGCCGGGGTTACACGTGTGAGCCACTGCACCCGGCCGATTTTGTATTTTTAGTAGAGACAGTTTTACCATGTTGGCCAGGCTGGCCTCGAACTCCTGACCTCAGGTATTCCGCCCCCCTCGGCCTCCCAAAGAGCTGGGATTAAAGGCGTGAGCCACTGCACCCAGCCTGTGTTACAACTGTTTTAGCCCCACCATTTGGCAGGTACCGAATTCTTGTCCTGCATCCAGGAAGAATAAGGTAGGCAGACAAGTGGAGATTGAGCAAGAGGAAGAGGAGCTTTATTAAGCAACAGAATTGTTCAGAAGAGACCCGCAGTGGGCAGCTCCTCTCCATAGCCAGGGTTTCCCCACAAGTGTTCAGCTTTCTGCAGAGAGGATAGCTCCTCTCTGGCAGGCAGGTCATCCCAACAAATGTCCAGCTCTCAGCAGAAGGGGTACTTCCTCTCTGCAGTTGGTTTTCTCCCCATCTCCCCTCCTCTCTTTAAGTCTGGCTGAGTCCAGTGTTTTTTATGGACCTCAGAGGGGAAGAAGTAAGTGCTGATTGGTCCATGGGCGGCCATTGGTGGCCATAAGCAGGCCTGGGGAAAAGCATCACAAGTTCCCCCCTCTGGTACGGGGAATGGTGGCCTGGCCCCCAGGCTTCAGGCCCTTCCAGGATTAAAGATGGGGCTTCACCAGCGACCCGCCCCCTTCCACCGAGGAGCTGTCTGCATCCTGCCGTTGTTCATGGTGCCCAGGCTGTTCATGCCAAGGGGTACCTGCAGGCCAGCACCAGGCTGTCCTCATACCCACCTCGGCCTCTCTCCGGTGCTTGTTGGCGCCCAAGTCCGGAGCGGACCAAGGAGTCAGGGGGCTGGCGTGTCGGTGGTGCCCCGAGCGTGTGCACACCCGGCCAGGCTGTGACAGCGCCCAGGCTCAGCCCGACTTTGCTCCGAGATTGGAGCAGGCACCAACAGCAGGGAGAAGCCACGCAGCAGGAGCAGGCACTTCCGAGCCTGCGAGGGGCAGTGGAGCCTTCCCAGGTTCCCAAGAGCACAGAGATGCCGGCCAGAGCCGCAGCAGGGTGACTGCAGCTGCACCTGGGGAACTCCCGCCCCGCCAGCTCAGAAGGGGCGGGGCTCCTGCTGTGCCTTCTATATTGAGTTGCCTTTGCAGTTTTTTAAAAACTCCATCCAGGCCGGGCGCGGTGGCTCACGCCTGTAATCCCAGCACTTTGGGAGGCCGAGACGGGCGGATCACGAGGTCAGGAGATCGAGACCATCCTGGCTAACACGGTGAAACCCCGTCTCTACTAAAAAGAAGTACAAAAAACTAGCCGGGCGAGGAGGCGGGCGCCTGTAGTCCCAGCTACTCGGGAGGCTGAGGCGGGAGAATGGCGTAAACCCGGGAGGCGGAGCTTGCAGTGAGCGGAGATCCGGCCACTGCACTCCAGCCTGGGCGACAGAGCGAGACTCCGTCTCAAAAAAAAAAAAAAAAAAAAAAAAAAAAAAAAACTCCATCCATCAGACCGCGCACGGTGGCTCACCCCTGTAATCCCAGGATTTTGGGAGGCCGAGGCGGGCGGATCACCTGAGGTCGGGAGTTCGAGACCAGCCTGACCCACATGGAGAAACCCTGTCTCTACTAAAAATACAAAATTAGCCGAGCATGGTGGCGCATGCCTGTAATCCCAACTACTCCGGAGACTGAGGCAGGAGAATCGCTTGAACCCGGGAGGCGGAGGTTGCAGTGAGCCAAGATCACGCCATTGCACTCCAGCCTGGGAAACAAGAGCGAAACTCCGTCTCAAAACAAACAAACAAACAAACAAAAAACAGAAAAAAAAACTCCATCATGTTTCTGTGAATCTATTTCTAGACTCTCCTATTCTGTTCCATTGATCTATATATTTCTCCCTTTGCTATTAGCAAACTGTCTTGATTACTTTAGCTTCATAGTAAGTCTTTTTTTTTTTTTTTTTTTTTGAGACGCAGTCTCATTCTGTCGCCCAGGCTGGAGTGCGGTGGCGCGATCTCTGCTCACTGCAAGCTCCGCCTCCCGGGTTCACGCCATTCTCCTGCCTCAGCCTCCCAAGTAGCTGGGACTACAGACGCCCGCCACCACGCCCGGATAATTTTTTGTATTTTTAGTAGAGACGGGGTTTCACTGTGGTCTCGATTTCCTGACCTCGTGATCCGCCCGCCTCGGCCTCCCAAAGTGCTGGGATTACAGGCGTAAGCCACCACGCTCGGCCATAAGAAGTCTTAATAGTAAGTATTTTAAGTCCCACAACTTTTTAGTAAGTCTTAATATTAAGTATTGTGAGTCCCACAACTTCTTTCTCAAATTTTTTTTTTTTTTTTTTTTTTTTGAGACGGAGTCTTGCTCTGTCGCCTAGGCTAGAGTGTAGTGGCGCCATCTCGGCTCACTGCAAGCTCCGCCTTCCGGGTTCACGCCATTCTCCTGCCTCAGCCTCCCGAGTAGCTAGGACTACAGGCGCCCGCCACCACGCCCAGCTAATTTTTTGTATTTTCAGTAGAGACGGGGTTTCACCGTGTTAGCCAGGATGGTCTCCATCTCCTGACGTCGTGATCCGCCCCCTCGGCCTCCCAAAGTGCTGGGATTACAGGCGTGAGCCACCGCGCCCAGCTCAAAATTGTTTTAACTATTCTAGCTTAATTGACTTTCCATATAAATTTTAGAATGAGCTTATCTATATCTACACACACACACACACACACACACACACACACAACTTCCTTGGTTTGGTTGGAAGTGCACTAAATCTGTAGATCAATTTGGAGTGACTTGACTTCTTAATTAGGTTGACTATTCCAATCCATGAACACAGTATATCCCTCTTAAGTTTTCTTTGGCTTCTTACACCAATGTTTTGTAGTTTTCGGTATACAGATCCTGCATGTGTTTTGTTGATTTATACCTAAATATTTCACTTTTTGTTTTTTTGGTTTTTGAGACGGAGTTTTGCTC